CCATAAGAGAGCTCCTTCTTCTGGGTGCTCCTTGAGAACCTGTCGTTGACTCAAGACCTATTCTGCGCCTTCCTTTATAATGACCTTACTGTCTGACTAGTCTGTTGATCTTGAACATTGTTGGGCGGTTATGTATCGAGGACAACCATGTAAATCTGAAATATTATAAACGTCAAGATTTTGTCCAGAGAAATTATAATACTCCTCATACAAAGTACTTTATCTTGACATTAATCACTCTTCTGGTCTAACGACGACCCGACTCACGGAACTATTGTCTCAAGAGTAAACTGTACCGCCAGAAGCAAGTGTACCCAAGACCGAAATATTTAGGCGTACTCAGTGTTTTGTGGAATTCAATGACTAAGCCAAGTTTGGTTGAAATCCATGAAATTGATGCAAGGTTCCAGAAATATCTCCCTACACTTGATACACAGCTGGTGTCCCTGAAGTATTTTATGTCGGTTTTATAGATTTAAGGAAATAGAACACACTCATGGCTCGGTTTACCCTAAGTTCAGGATGTTTTACAGGAAACAAATGACCTGACTTCCTTTTTTTTCTTCGGAATCCTGTATCAACACATTCACTCGGCTGGTGTACTGACTAAGCCATGAGGGTAATCTCTTTCCTTAAATGTGTATAAACGAAATTAGACTAATATGTCCCTTTGAGTCCAGTTTTCTGGGACATCCTGAAAAACTCAGGTATGATGGCAGGAAGGAGAGTAATATATACATTCTGGTGCAGTCTATATAGAATGTGACCTCGGACCTTTTTAGCTTTGTGGAAAACTTTTAATCAGACCTCTTCTGCAGTAGTGAATGTTTCCTTCAGCTACACATGACTTTTAGCCAGGCTGTAGCCGATTTGGGGGATGGGGGTATCGCCAGGCGCGCGCATGTTTTCCTGTACCATATTCAAAGCTCCCGAAAGGTGGGGTGGTTATACCCATACACGCAAACAAAGTCTAATAGGAGAGTGACAACAGGATGCTCGTACCCACCACGTTAGGTGAGGTTATCAGTAACATGACGCACACTCGACCAATAACATCCAGTATTTAGGATCCATCACAAGTTAGCCGGTAAGAAAACACCGCCCGGCTCCTCCTCCATCACCACACGTCACGGGGCATGACACAGCTCACTGTGCTGTGTACATGACGTAAATTGAATGTCGAAACTTTCTGTGAATGACAAGAATACTCACAACTGCACGTACTGTACTTGGACGTACGTACACACACACACACACACACACACACACACACACACACACACACACACACACATTAAATACGCATATACACAAAAACGTATCCATACCTCATTTTGCTAAGGATCTAAATCGATTTTGTCTTTTTAATCTTTTACTGTTTGGGTTTAACCTGAATATTGTGAATCCTATTTTATTACCGGTTGTCTTTTTCAGTCTTCAAGGGAATGAAATATATTCTGTACAGCGCCGAGTAAATTACTTAAGAAAACTTTAGTTTCAATGAATAATAAAAAAAGTGGGAGGAGGTCATGGATGCGTGGGAGACAGGAAAGGGTGATGGTGAGAACAATACGGATTAGTGGAAAGGAGGAGGGTGCGGGAGAGAGGAGGAGGGTGCGGGAGAGAGGAGGAGGAGGAGGAGGAGGAGGAGGAGGAGGAGGAGGAGGAGGGTGCGGGAGAGAGGAGGAGGAGGAGGAGGGTGCGGGAGAGAGGAGGAGGGTGCGGGAGAGGAGGAGGAGGAGGAGCGTGCGGGAGAGAAGCGCTGGGTGCAGTGAACATCAATGAGACATGTGGAAATAGGAAGTGAAGGGCAGCGTTAAAGTTCCTGGTAAGCGTGATGCTGCTGATGGTGGTGAGGGTGTTGGTGATAGTCGTGGTGGTCATTGTATTACCTTCCTGCAGCAGACATATATCTCAATAGAAACACAATGGTTACCACAAATTACTACATGCCGGTTAAATTAGTTTGATGTGGAACGTATCCGGTGATTTATTAATAATGACAATTGAACTGGTGTGATTAAAACCTTCAACAAATTCCTACACTTTTTTCCCTACCCAACCAACTGTTTCTTCTAAAATACAATTTGATGAACAGTAACCCAATGCCTCTTGTTGTGGGCCAGATATAGACCAACATGCCCACATGTTATATCTCAATGTTGCTTTCCCGCTGTGTTTCCATTTTTCTCACACACACACACACACACACACACACACACACACATATATATATATATATATATATATATATATATATATATATATATATATATATATATATATATATATATATATATATATATATATATATATATATGCATACAGAAGAGGGTAGCGTAGCGTGGGTTGTATGTTAGTTTCGTTTCATACTTACACTCACACATACATAATGTTTGCCCCCCCCCCCATTGGACACACACACACAACCAGCCACAAAAGATAGAATAATTGAAGTCAACCTCATGATAACCCTGAGGCTTCTGCGTGGTGATCCTGATGACATTGTTTCCTTAAAATTGCTAGAATGTATGAACCATGGGACTGGTGAGTCTAAATGGATCCAAACTACAGGTACACATATGAAGATGTTTGGACTAGACCACCTGTACAAAGTTGAGACACAACAGCGCTTTCTGCCACCCTGGCGGACAGTTCCCTTCGATATCACAATACCGACATATCTGCCTAAAAAATATTTATACAAAGCATTTATCTCCAACACACTACCAAACTGAGAGCTCTTGAACACTTACACACTCTACAGACTGATGATAATATCACACAGACCATCTACACTGATGGATCTCTTAACACCGCCTGTGGGAGGGCTGGAAGTGCTATTGTTGTGACTCAACCTGACGGTAATATAATTGAGAAAGGAGTTAGAATTAACAACTGGGCATCCACTCTACAAACTGAATTAGTTGCCATACTCACAGCTATTAAATTCATTGAAACCACTGTCACTGACAGTCTCATCATCACTGACTCTCTATCCTCACTACTTGCCCTTGGTACCCTTGACTCAAGTTGTCACGCTCTTGTCTCTGAAGCCAGACACAAATATGCGTGCCTTGTTGACCCGGGTGTCAAGGTCAAACTGTTGTGGATCCCCTCTCACATAGGCCTCATAAAACATGACAGAGTTGATGCCCTCGCCAAACTCGCGTCTAACAAAGACACCGTTGTATACAATTTGGGTCTGTCAAAAAGAACCCTTAAAACTGTAATTAGGAAAGAACTTATTGATGAGTTTGACGCAAGTAGACTAGTGCAAACAGGCACTAGTCGATCCATAGTTTGCCATGATGAGATGTATCAAGTGAAACATGTATACGGAGCAAGTAACAAGATCACTAGATTACGAGATGTGGTAACCGCTAGATTACGGTTAGGATATAAGTACCTCTGGCAGTATGTTCCTCAAGCAGATGTAAACAAGACTAAATGTAAAGTGTGTGGTCAGACAAAATCAAATCACTAATGAAGCTTCTACGATTGAATAAATCCTTGGGAGAGTTGCCTAATTCCTCTACCTGGTGTTCCGTGATTACCCCATTGTTACCTGTCTACCTGTTGCTTATGGTATCCTTTCTGTGAGCCGAGTTGAGCGATGGATAGATAGATATGACTAGATAGATAGACAGATAGATAACTTTAATAACCCCCCCCCCCAAAAATGCATATTACATACATCAGACATACAAGAGATGAAATAAAAACTGTAAGCTTTGCCCCCTCCCCTTAAAAAAACAATAGACCATTCAAACGAAAAATAAAATGTCAAACAATGTGCGTTCTTGGATATGTTTATATTGGAAGAATAAAATTTTATACAACCAGAAACACATTTAATTACAAAAAATCAAATGAATAACTTTTTATACAGAATTTGAGCTCTCAGGAGTGAACAGTAGGTGTTCCATCGACGTAAAATAGTAGATGGTCCACACACCGAGTCAAAAGGGCAGGGCAGGGCAGGACTCCACCACACACTGTCCGTTTGCCTCGCCCCGCGTAGTAATACCCGCTCCCTCACCAGAAAAGGCGACCTCGACCCCGCCTATTCCACCTGCCCGTCTCCACCGCCAACGAATGCCCTCTCACACGAAACTTGACTAAAAAAAAATATATATGTAACTCATTTATAATAGTTTTCTTGGTGTACACTTCATGTACAGGAATGTCAGCGTTCCTCGACTTCTACATCACTTTACGTGACGAATCTGACCGAGTAATTATAGTTTTTAAAGCACACATGACGGCCACTATGCCACCATTATCTACTTGCGTTGAATTCCCTGACATGTTATTTACCAGTGGGACTCGTGGCAGGAAGACTATTTTCAGGGCGTGAAATAGCAGGATGTCAACAAGGTAATTCCTGTCATCCTACACATCCCGGACAAATTTGCTGACAAGATCATGTAAAGGCGGGCATCCCAATTACAAAGTTATGTATACTTCTCATGTCTCTCACAGCCATGTATACCTTCCCTGGCCCCCCACACAGTCATGTATACCTTCTCTGGTCCCTCACACAGTCATGTATACCTTCCCTGGCCCCACACACAGTCATGTATACCTTCTCTGGTCCCTCACACAGTCATGTATACCTTCCCTGGCCCCACACACAGTCATGTATACCTTTCCTGGTCCATCAAACAGGAAAGCAAGACGATGAAAACAACAATGATGTACTAATCCTTTTTAGGGGTCAGTTTCTTGAAGTTATTTACACATTTGAGTAACTCGGTGATTCATTTCCTGTATACATAAAGTTGAGACTGTCACACAAACAAAGTCAAACAACTCGCGCGACAGAGCTTCCTGCCTGCATCTTATCTTTTCCTTCCTCATTTTTTATTGTTTATTATCATTTTATTAATATTATTTTATTATCATTTACATTATCATTGTTTTTGTTTATTAAGTTTCTATTATTATCATTGTTTTATTAATTATTATTGTTATTTTAGGATAATGTTCATTCCTACCGTGATTATATTCCAGTCTGCCCAGTGGTTGTTCAGTCGTCTCCTTAAACACAGCCTCTACCCCTCATCTTCCTCTGTTCTATCTAAAATCTCAGACGCCTCTACCGTGCGGAGGGGCAGAAGTAGGATATAGGGAGCTGAACAGACTCGTTCATTAGCGTAACTTGCAGAGGCCAGTTGTATGAGTGGGTGGTCGTGCCTGCATTTCGGTATCTCTGTCCACTTGAGGCTGTGTGCGTAGTGCCTAAAGGGGGAAGGAGGGGGTGGAGTGGAGTCGATTATTAAGTTGGTCACGTATGTAGCTTTTTCATTTGCATTTGTTTATCAGTCGCAGTTTATAGAGATTATGTGACCAATTAATGATGGTGTTAGTTTGTTGTTATTTACTACTATAGGGTGTTGCTGTCATTATTACAGTATCGTTATTAGTAGTATTTTATTTTTATCATTATCGTTATTATTATTATTTATTATCATTGTTATTATTATTATTAAAACATTATCATTAAGTGGTGAATTATTATATATATATCGTTTTACTGTTATTTTATTGCTATTTGTATTATAACTATTATTTCTATGTAGCTTAATACACTGCAATAATTTATCTTAAACGAGACTGAAAGGGAGTGTCATGTGTTATATCAACTTCTCATGACCAAAGCTTTATCTGCCTGTGTCGAGTGGCCTCTTCAGCTTGGTGCCCCCGATCACTAGGAGGCCATGGCGAGGCCCCTTTGAGTTAATTATCCTCCCTGAACTGAGAATGAGAGAACGTATATCGAATTAGAGTAAATAGTCTTGGTGCAATTCCGACGCCATTTTCAGCCACCAGCTTTGTGGCATTGTTTATTTAAGACCCTTTAGGTCAGTTGGTGTTGGTGTATGAATACCTTCAGAGTCCGGGTCAATTTTCGCAAGTCATCTGACCACTTGTGCCAGGGGTGGTGTTTATAGCAAGGCAGATGGTGGTGGCGGTAGTGAAAGGGTTAAGGACAGAGTGAATGAGAATTCCTATAGTTACGAGTTGGTGAGTCACTATTAAAGCTGGTATTTGTGAAGTGTAGTAGTTTTTTTGGTTCCATCTAGTAATAGCTCGCCTGAATGGATGGTGGGAGCATAGCTAAGGTGTTTGTGTACATGTACCCTCGCTCCAAAAAGCATCTTGACGACTTTGTTTTAGACAATATGACATAACGGACGAAGGATTTTGACAACCATACCGAGACAACAGGAGTCGTGGTGTTCATTTTGACATCCATCGGACCCCTCTGTAAAGATAATTCTTGGAGCGAGTTTTACAGTAGTGGAGTTAGTAGTTGCTTATTCAGTGATTGCAGTTCATTATAGCACGCTAGAGTTAAGTGTTGTTTCGGTTCGTCCTCTCCACTAATAAATGAGTGTCTGTGGTACTAAAGTTCATTTATAAGGAAATATAAGTGTTTGGTGTATGAAGTATGGCATAGTTACCGAGGAAAAATGCTTACCCGTACGCTGAAGTATATCATAAATGTGTTTCAGTGTGCGTGTGTTTGTGTGTTTATATAATTATCTGCAGGTGTGCGTTTTTGTGTTTGCCCTGCCTCTGCCCGTATAGGTGAGCAGTTCTTAGCAAACAACACACCGTGACCAAGTGCAACAGGCACTCAGCTCTGCCCCTGCCAACTTTTATTATTTTTTTTCATGCAGATAATAACGCTTATTAACGTAAATACTAATCATCACTCTTCATTCTTTTGAAACTTGACATGTATCATCCATCCTCCATAAGGTGTGTGTGTGTTGGGGGTAGTGCTATAGACGTGAACACTGAACACACACAAACATCAGTGAGGCAGCCAGTGAAGCCGCGTTCACTCCCATAGTTCGTGCCAACCCCGCCTCTCTCTCCTTTGCCAAACTCCACTGAGTCTGTGATCGCTTCTCGTACGTTTCTTCTGTTTTCGGCATAAGTTAGCAACACCGAAGGTCAAAGCTTTTGTGATGACTGTATTTTTATGAACTAATTTTCGAATGACTGTCATGAACATATCTCAAGAATGATGACCCCAATTTCAATCAAACTCAGCACGATCATGAATAAGTTTTTTGTTATAACTGGACAAAAGACAAAGTTACACTGTAGTCATACCTGCATCGCCTCTGGTTCTCAGTCTTGCTCTGGGGCTTCGAGTTTAATCATCTGTTTGCAGTGTGAGGCGCGCGTGTGATATGACCGCTAAAAAAAAAAAATCTATCACTGGGTTCTTCTAGTTAGCATAACAAACAAATTATAATGCACGAGTACGAAGAATTGCCTGGCTTGGGTGTATGCGAGATATCGTAAATCCGTGGAATGCTATCGTACACACCGTATTTTTTTTTTATCGTACACGTGTTCTGAATTCATCACAAGGATGATCATATATTCAGCAAACTTTGTCCTCTTTAAGCGTGACCGTATTTTGATTAAAACATCAACATACACACGGACATTATTACGTAACAGCCACAATTAAAAGCACACATTCGCGTAGATTGTATACTATACACTTGTCAGTGTTGAGTGATGTAGTCAGCATAAACTTAAACATTGTCTTGTGCAAGAAACATTAATGCACTCAGAACAAACATCTTAAGTCAAAACAAACCTCACCGTTACCAGGTACGGTATATGAATAATCTTAGGTACTTATCACATTCCTTCTTCCAGTAAGTGGTTCTTATTACCTCACAGTAGTAGAGGATGAACCTGCTATCGGCCAGAGATGTATTGTTTTGTTTATACCGATACATGTACACATTATTGCACGTTATCGGTGTGTTTACTGATTAGACTTTATCGAACACTAACCGGAGATTATGTACTGTAGTATCGAGGTCACTCCTGATAGACGATGATTACTTTAAAACCTCTGTCGAATAATTAATTACACTGACAGACGTTTTAAACTCATAAGACAGATGGCTGGACAAACAAGATCTCGTCCAGGAACTGACTTAATACAGAGTTCACCGTCTGTCACTTCTTCAGATAATCATCACGCATTCTTACAGAGGTGAATGGTCGGATTGATCATTATGATTCGGGGCCTAGTTCTAATGAACTTCAATACTAATGGTTAAATTAGCATAGAGCCTGTTAGAACAGGGGCCTGTCTGACCTGCATCCTTCTTACATTTCACAGTACAAGCATAATTAAAAGTAAAAGTGACGTGTTATCTGCTCACTCGACAAACAGCTGTTCAGAACTTTTAGCAACGAGGAAATTTTCGAAGCCTTTCGCAAACTCATTATTCAAAGACATTTCTTAGTCGGAGTGTCGTCAGTTAACCTAAGCACCAAATTGTGAGCTAATTATGTTAGGTGTACAGTAGATAGCGTCCCTGATGTGCATTCACACTGTCTTGGCCAAGGTCGGGGAGGTGTGTCGGTCACCATGCTGCTGCTGCTTCCCTAACGTATGGTGTGTTGAGGTGTTATTCTTCACCATGCGTAAGATAATTATATTATTAATGATGATTACGATGTATGTCACTCCAGAATATAAATGGCCGTATCGTTTCTACTTATATACTCGCAGGTGTTCTACTACATGAATATTTCGTTCACGTATAAGGCCACAATTCCTGAATTACTTAGCATATGTTAGTGTGGCCATGTGATAGGCGTGATGTAAACAGGGAAACCAGATACCAGATGAACAACGATGCCATAGAGAAATCCGACTGCGAGAGAGATTTGGGAGTAATGATAAGTAGGAACGTTAAGCCAAGTAAACAATGTGTTTTTGCTCGTAACAAGGCTAATAAAGTACTTAGGTTCATACAAAGGAGTGTTAGTTACAAGACTAGTGAGGTCATCCTAAAACTGTATCTTGCGCTTGTGAGACCACACCTGGATTACGAAGTTCAGTTCTGGTCACCGTATTACAGAATGGATATAGAATCATTGGAAAGAATTCAGAGGAGAATGACAAGACTAATCCCGGGCATTAGGAGCCTTGAGTATAGAGACAGGTTAAAGCATCTTAATTTGCACTCCCTCGAGAGACGTAGAGCGAGGGGCGACCTGATAGAGGTGTATAAATGGAAGTCAGGGCTGTTTCCCTTTTCCCGTGTGATTTTATCAAGATTTATCTTATCCACGTTTTCATTGTGGATCTACATGAAATATATATATATATATATATATATATATATATATATATATATATATATATATATATATATATATATATATATATATATATATATATATATATATATACACACACACCAAAGTAATATAAAATGGTTAAAACGCAAGCTAGCTCAAAGCATACTCGAGTACGATGTAACAGAATTAATATAAATACTCACAAATGATATTTTATGTGGAGATGATAAACAGGTCAAGTGTCCAGTAGAGGGTGTGGGAGGAGAGGCGTCGACACTACCGTTCACTCGGAAGGCACGGGCTGCACTGAGTGTCTGAGCCAGTGACGAGCACCCGTAGCCAGCCAGTGGTGGAAGGCAAGCGGGTGAGTTGGTGACTGGTTACTCTGGTGGACGGTGGTGCCCCAGGGAGGGAGGTGAGGAGGAGAGAGGTGTGGCTTGGTTAGGGAGTAGAGAAGTGTAGATTGGTTAGGGAGGAGGGAGTGGAAGACTGGTTATGGAGGAGGGAAGAAGGGGGTAGCCGGGTAAGCGTGACTGACCATAATATCCTGTCTGCTAGGTATGTCAACAATGGACGTCTGTCTGTTATTTTGTTATGTTGTTACGAGCTTAGGTCGGCCTTGCTCTGTCTCAGGGAACGAGAGCATGGGCCCCAAAGCCGACAACAGTTGCAGATATTGATTGAGGCAACAGTCACTGAAAGCCGCATAGCTCTGCGGCTCAACTAACTCAAAACAGCTAGGGTAGCTACTTATGTATTAGGATATTTAATTTTAAGGTAATAAAATGGCGGCGAAGGTGTGGCTATTGGGGGAGGCTGGATGCCACATTTAAAAAAAAATAGTAGTAGCCATTCACGTCATGAGAAAGGTATTTGAGCAGCGTGATTGTGAGGCAGTACTTCTGGTCGACGCTTCCAACGCATTCAACATACTCAACCGCAAGGCTGCACTGCACAACATAAAGATCAAGTGTCCAAGCTTTGCAATATATGTTGAAAACACCTAGAGGAACCCATCAGACCTCTTTATAACAAGCTTCAAGGCCCTAAGAGGAGATACCACCGTACAGTCAACTGAGGGAACAGCGCAGGGGGACCCTGTCGCCATGGCAATGTACGCACTAGGCCTGTCTGTGCTCCAACAATGAAATATGAAACAACCGAGGTCAAGCAAGTGGCATACGCTGATGACCTAACAGGAGCAGGAAAAGTGGAGGACATCAAAAAGTGGTGGGACCTGGTAACATCACGAGGTCCACAAATAGGGTACCATCCAAACACCAGCAAGTCCTTCCTCATTGTGAAGCCAGAATACTATGAATGGGCAATGAAGGTGTTCGGTGGAAGTGACGTCAAAATAACAAAGGATGGCCACTGACATCTAGGTGCGGTAATTGGCACGAAGGACTTCAAGACCGACTACTGTACGTAACGGGATAGGTGAATGAGTGGGTTAAGGAAAGCCAAGCTCTGTCTGATATTGCTAAAACAGAGCCACATGCGGCTTTTGCGGCATTCACCCATGGAGTCGAGCATCGTTGGAATTACCTGATGCGCACTATCCCTGATGTCGGACCCCTCCTTCGTCCTCTGGAAGAAGCCATCAATGTCGCTTTTATCCCAACACTAGTGAAAAACCCTTACTTAACCCCAGCAGAAAGGTCACTCCTTGTACTACCACCGAGACTAGGGGAATGGGATTGACTATTCCAGTGGAGCTTGCCCGTACAGAACATCAGAACTGTCAAGCTCACGGCAGCTCTCACTGAGCACATAATAGATCAAGAATGCAGCAAGTCAGGTGGATACCAACGAATTAAACAAGATTCGACGGTACATTACGACAGAGCGGCAGCACACCTAAAGTGATAAACTGCAACAACTGTTGCACCAAGTGCCAGAGAACGTGAAAAGAAAAGTATCTATAGCTCAGGAGGTTGGCGCCTCAAACTCGTTAACAACGTTACAGATAAGGGCAAAAGGCTTCATCCTTAATGAACAAGAATTCACAAATGCCATTGCTCTAAGGTACGGTTGGCCAGTAGAAGATTTGCCCTCCCAATGCGTGTGCGGCTCATCTTATGACATCGACCACGCCATGGTGTTCAAGAACGGGGGCTTCGTATGCATGAGGCATGATAAAGTAAGGGATCTAACAGCAAATCTAAACTAAGGAAAATCTGCTACGACGTCTTGGTGGAACCGCCCCTCCTTCCATTGGACGGTGAGAACCTCCGTCACAGGACTTTAACACACCCAACGAAGCCCGTGTGGACGTCAGTGGTCGAGGATTCTGGACGCGGAGACAGCGAGCCTCTTTTGACATAAGGATTTTCGTATCCCATGGCCGCATGTCACCGCAACCTAGCTCTCGATGCTGCACACAGGAGGAACGAAAACGACAAGATTAGGGCATATGGGGAGAGAATTCAGAACTTTGATCAAGGCAGCTTCACTCGTCTGGTGTTCACAACCTCTGGTGGTGTGGGACTAAGTGCAAGATGCTTCTACGCCAGACTCGCGAAGGTGTTATCTGAACGGAAGCAGCAGCCCAGAAGTTATGCTACAGCCTGGTTGAGATATCGACTGTCCTTCTCTATGCTTAGGTCTGCTTTACTTTGCCTCAGGGGAACGAGAGCATCGGCCCCACAGCCAACAACAGTCGCAGATATCGACTTTGAGGCAACAGTCACTGAATGCCGCACAGATTTGCAGCTCAACTAACTCAACACAGCCAGGGTATGTATTAGGATAGTTAATTTTAAGGTAATAAAATGGCGGCGAAGGTGTGGCTAGTGGGGGAGGCTGGAGGTCACGTTAAAAAAAGTAGTAGTAGTATTTTCTGCTTTAATTAGCCTAATGCCCATCTCTCTTGACTAGCTGGTTCATAGTTTTTCTTGTGTGGGGGAGTTTTATTCCAGTACGTATTAATACATACGTCCACTGCCAGACGCACCATTAACACGTCTGGAGTCAACCCCAGATTAACACGTCTGGAGTCAACCCCAGATCACAATTGTTTCGTTTCGCATTTTGTTTGTACTTTTTTTTGACATTTCCTTTTGTAATACTTCCACTAATTATATCTTTATTTACACCTTTTTTATTTAATACTTCTTTTATGTGTATAATGTTGTATGCCCTCACTATCTATGTATATTGTATACCTGCACTGTCTATGTATGTAGTATACATGCATTATCTATATACCTGCTGAACCAGAGTATACTGTAAGTGTATTCCAATACAGGGTACTACTCAATAAATCTATCTATCTATCTGTCTGTCTGTCTGTCTGTCCTATATTACTCTTTATTTTATCAACGTAGAGAGCGAGTTTGGGAGTGGGTGGTAGTAGTAATGGGTGGATGTAGTAGTGGTAGTAGTGGGTGGTAGTGGTAGCCAGCGTGGCGTGGGTGTGGTGGAGTGTCCTCCCTTATCTAAAGTGTTTTTGGAGGGGACATATTCCGAGCGTGGGAGCGGGAATTTCACAGTGTATCGGTGAATATCGGATCTCACCCTAAGCATTGTCACCGAAAGTTCTTCTCATACCTTACGGCATTAATCGCAAATAATCCGTGTGTTCACCGGCGATCACCAAGCGATTTTGTGAGTATTTGGATGGTCGGCTACTGCAGGTGCCAGTGTCGATAGGCCTACTTTGGCAGGGGTGGCTTCGAGAGACTCGCCCTTATGGGGCCAAGTGCCACCGAGTCCAGAATCCTCGAGCACTGACGTCCACACGGGCTTTGTTAGATGTGTTTGAAGTCCTGTGTTGGAAGATCTCGCCATCCAATGGAAGGAGTGTCGGTTCTACCATGACGTCCCGGCAGATTTCCTTCAACATTTGCTGTGAGATCCCTTACCTCGTCATGCCTCATGCATATGAAGCCCCCCTTCTTGCACACCATGGCGTGATCGCCATCATAGGAAGAGCCACACACGCAATGGGAGGGCAAACCTTCTACTGGCCAACCGTACCTTAGAGCAATGGCATCTGTAAATTCTTGTTTATTAAGACTGAAACCATTTGCCCTTATCGGTAACGTAGTTAACCAGTTCGAGGCGCCCACCTCCTGCGCTATAGCTACTTTTTTTTTCAAATTTCTGGAACCTGCAGCAATAGTTGCTGCAACTTATCATTTTGGCAGTGCTGTCGATCTGTCGTAATGGACCTACGAATCTTATTTACTTCGCTGGTATCCACTTCCCCTGTTGCATTCTGGGCTATTATGTGGTCCGTGAGGGCTGCCGTGAGCTTAAGTGACTACTACTACTACTACCACTACTACCACCACCACTTGTATTCATTCCTATGTCCTCTCTCATAGCAAGTCAACACACTAAGAACTGACTTCTTCACCTCCAGACTTGAAACCACCTGCGTCACAACCTCAATACGTGGCTGGCGGGAATGACTGACACCCTGGGGAAGGGGAAGAGTAGGAAAATTGTTCACTCATAATGATATCATAATACCTCCCACTCTTGGAAAGCGAGTGTTCCAGTTTGTACCTCAGTGTACGCTAAGTAACATCCTGTATCAGATAAGTGAATAATTGACAGTCGTTGTTAATGAGGTGGATACAGTATGTGTGTGAGGTCATGGACCTGTACATGCGTTAATCTGCGCAAAAGGATATGAATAATGCTTAGCGAGAATTAAGTGACCTTCACAACAGCGTGACTCAGCCTGCGTGGGGTGATTCGTGTTGGAATTACCCACACACAGTTGAGAGCCAGCCATATAAGGCTAGCCTGCCCATGGGCAGGAGTGATCCTTGGTTATAAAAAATAAAGGAGGCAGATGGGATTCCGAGGTCAACTGTCCCGTTGGGGAGGAGGGGGGGACAAGAAACATCCAAAAGTTTGTGTAGATCTAATAAATGGAAAATTTCCTAATGTGATCTAAGCAATGGAACTCAATATGTACTGTACGTGAGGTACGTATGTGTGTTTGGGTAAATAGGAATTTCCAGTCAGGAAGGGAACCTTCCTGTATCCGATCCTGTTGTGCTTAAAAATGTTACAAGGCATGACTTTCATTCTTTATGCCTGATGGAAAGAAACCAAGACGACATAATTATTGAGTTATGACCCTTCCTAACCTATCCATCTTCATTCGTGACCTCGTGAGGTTTAAAAGGATAACTAAAAAAAAAGCATAACATGGAAAAATACATGAAAACCTGACTTTCTCAACAAATAATTATCACCATAATTAGCATAAAAATTGTACTAGAAAATCAACGTCGTAGTTATGAGCTCGTAAGTCAATGTTTGGGAAATAACAGCCGAAATTATGTGGTGTTGTCTTTACTGCTGCCAACATTTAACTGGTATAATTAGAGGCCTGT